AAACCTTAATCGTCTCGAAAAAATCGATATAAATCGTTGTAAAACAACAAAATTCCTCATGTTGAACAACTCCAACCTTGCAACATGTTTCAAATCGCATAAAACTCCAATCGAAGGTAATTTTGCTCCTTTCCCGGTTTGATATCGCAACAAAACCGTAATTTTTTCTTAATTCATTTCCAATTAAGTGTTCAGTCCGCGGTCCGCCTCACACTCCTCTCATTTCGTTCAGTCTGCGGTCCGCTGATCGCACTCCCGTTCCAAAAATAGTCCCCTTTGTCAGTTTTCTACTCGACTTGATATTTAAATAAATCCCACACTCCGTTACAAGACCTTCCATTCACTTGGTCGCATTTTTTCTCCCTGATTAAAATCGTACCACGACTTTGACAGTTCTTGTTGTTGTTGTTGTTGTTGTGTGAAAGAAGACGAAAATGTCGCATTTTTTTATTTTGACGTTTGAACTTTTGACCCAGCCTTCTTTGTGGTAGAGTAAAACAAGGAAAAGAAAGTGAATTTGGGTCAACTGTTACAATGGATCGGTTTGTTGTTTAAATTGTTGAGAAATTTAGTGCGGGGTTGCGACATTTCGTCTACATACACACACATGACCGTAATAAAAATTGAAACGTGCATTTCGATTTTTCCGTTCGAAGAATTTTATCAATTGTCAAATATTGCCTTATCACAGGGTTGATAAGAGGCGGGAATGTTCGATGATTCAAGTTTTTCTGGAATATCGTAGTAGACACCTGTCGAAATACTAGTACAAACTAGAATTTCAAGGTCACAAGCTTTGTCATGAAATCCAACAATTTTTGACAATTGTCAATAAAAAAGCTTATTTTTGTACCAAATAACGTTTTTTACATTTGTAAAGGTCCTAAAGACCCAAAAAAGTGCATAACACGTTATTGAGTCGAGTTTAAAAAATTACGAATTTTTGAGTTTTTCAAAAAAGTAGTAGTAAAATCGTAAAAATAGTCAATTTACTAAAAATCGTAAAAACGGTTGAAATATGGTTTTCTAGACGTAAAATTACTCGCTGAACACGATTCAACTAGTTAGAATACTCTACGATGCATAGTTTTTGAGATATTGAGTAATAAAGTTAAAAATAAGGCTAAGAAATATCCGATTTTGACAAAAAATCACAATTTTTTAATTCTTATGAAAAACTAGTGCTATATGTAAAATTAACCGCAGAATACGCTTGTACAAACCGTTTTGATCTAAGACTCATAGTTTTTGAGATATAACGTTTTTTTGAAAAAAACTAAAARTGGCTCTGTACCCGGAACCATAACCCGGAGCGACTTCCGGTTTGCGCCAATAAATAGATAATTTCAAGCTACTTTTAATGKTTTTTAGCTCTTTGCTCTAAATCTTATAGTTTCGTAGAAAAACGCGTTTAAAGTTTCACAATTT